TTTTATGCTTTTTATATTTTTTATGTAATTTTTTCTTTTTTCTATAATCATAGGTTTGTGGTGTATATAAATATGAACAAAAATAATAATTTAATTTCTTTATTTGTTTTTTAGCTGCTACTTCTATACATTATTATTTTAATTTATCAATTATAAATTTTATTGCAGCACTACTAGTCAATTCTATCAATGCATGGAGATGGTATCTTTCTATATATTCTTTCAAGTATAGATATATCTAATGTTAATCTTGCTACACTTACTGATCTTTCAAAATTTAATAAAAATGGATGTATGTACTTCATGCTCCTAATACTTAGTTTTTCTAATTCTTCTAAATCTGCTATCTCTACTGGCTATCTCTACTGGGATTGGATCTTATAATTATTTCTCTAATAAAGTTTGTAAAATTTCTAGAATTGTCTCCTCCAACCATTCTTAATCTAACTTTTATGCTTTTTATATTTTTTAAGTAATTTTTTCTTTTTTCTATAATGATAGGTTTGTGGTGTATATAAATATGAACAAAAATAATAATTTAATTTCTTTATTTGTTTTTTAAATACTTCTTCTATACATTATTATTTTAATTTATCAGTTATAAATTGTATAGCAGCACTACTCAATCCATGGAGATGGTATCTTTCTATATATTCTTTCAAGTATAGATATATCTAATGTTAATCTTGCTACGCTTACTAATCGTTCAAAATTTAATAAAAATGGTTGTATGTACTCCATGCTCCTAATACTTAATTTTTCTAATTCTTCTAAACCTGCTATCTCTACTGGGATTGGATTTTATAATTATTTCTCGAATAAAACTTGTAAAATTTCTAGAATTGTCTCCTCCAACCATTCTTAATCTAATTTTTATGCTTTTTATATTTTTTATGTAATTTTTTCTTTTTTCTATAATTATAGGTTTGTGGTGTATATAAATATGAACAAACATAATAATTTAATTTTTTTATTTGTTATTTAGCTACTTCTTCTATACATTATTATTTTAATTTATCAGTTATAAATTTTATAGCAGCACTACTAGTCATTTCTATCAATCCATGGAGATGGTATCTTTCTATATATTCTTTCAAGTATAGATATATCTAATGTTAATCTTGCTACGCTTACTAATCTTTCAAAATTTAATAAAACTGGTTGTATGTACTTCATGCTCCTAATACTTAGTTTTTCTAATTCTTCTAAACTTGCTATCTCTACTAGGATTGGATCTTATAATTATTTCTCTAATAAAGCTTGTAAAATTTCTAGAATTGTCTACTCCAACTATTCTTAATCTAATTTCATCTGGTTTTAGCCTTTTAGTTGTAACATATATATCAAATGCTGTTTTTTCTAAATATATTTCTAAATAAGCCCACAATTCTTCTATGATCATTTGTATAGATACACTCTTATATGCTCTAATTACAAAAAAATTCCATTTAGTTATAGTACTAGGTATGTTTTGCTGTTTACGGTTATTTAATTCTAAAATTAATCATCTATCGCTTGCTACTGGTAAACTACATCCTTTTTTTAATGTCTCTTTCCTTGGATTTTGTATTTTTTGTCTTTAGATTCGTATAAATTTGTAGGGGAAAAATGATACTTTCCTCCTATATCATATTCTGTATTCATGGGTTCTTTTATTTTTCAAAATTGTTTGTCAGTTTTTAACTTAGGTCTTTTATTACTTCCATTGCTTTCTTCCATCTTAGATTCTATATTTTATTGGTATTTTTCTAATAATATTTTAATTTCTATTGCTCTAGATTTCCTAAGATTCCTATAATATTCAATATCTATATATCAGAATTCTTTTTCATCGTCTTCACTTTCATCTTCTTCACTTTCTTCATCTAATGCATTAATTTCATTTTCACTATCATAGTATTCTATTTCAGAATATTTGCATTGCTCTTCATTTCTTCCTCATTATGCTTTGTCTATTCTGTTTGATAATTATAATTTTCGAATCTAATACTTAAAGTTCCATTGCTATATTTGTACATAATATTGTTTTATGATACTAATATAGGTCTTTCTAAGAAGTTTCCTAAATTCCAATCTAATCTTGCATTTGTCTCTGAAGAGAATTTCTTTGCTGCAATGGCATTTATGTCTTTTTGTCCTTGTAAAGTAATTATTTGATTTTTTTCTAATCTATAATTAGCAGTACTATTTTTACTAAGTCTTCCTATAAATCCTGTAAAAATTAAAAAATTATCTTCGTCTCGTTTCATTTGATATTTTTTACTTTTTGTTCATATTTTGATGTCTTTACAGAGACTTTTTGTTTTAACTAAATAATCTGGTGTAAGTACATTATTCCACCCTTATTATTCATGTCTAATTCTATACTTCCTAGTAGTTCTTGCTCTATATCTATAAATCTGCTATCATATAAACATACTAATATTTTTACTACTAGATTTTCTCTATGGAGTCATGTTACTCCTACTATTATTAATTCTAAATGAGTTTGTTGAATATTTTTATTAACAATTTTTTTCTATTAAATTTATAGATATAAATTGATCTTCATGTGTACAAGAAACATATATTTCACCATAATGTTGATATATTAAAGATTTACTAAATATATTTCCTTTTTCATATATGTCTAAAGTTTTTACTAATTTTAATTTATTATATCTAAAAGTATCTCCAAGAGACTCTCTATTTTTAATAAACATATTCTATCATTTGGAGAACATTTATAAATTTAGAGAGTTAAAATTTTGAAATACTTCAACAAGCTTTTTATATTTAACATTTGATTTTACCTTTCTCAAAAAATATTTATTAATTTTCTTTATCTTTTATTTTAACTAGCTTTTTAAGATTATTTTATTATTTTCTTACATTTAAAATTGAAACTCTTTGAATGCATTTAATTATAGCGAGTGGGTTTGGCTCTCCAAATTTAAAGAGTCTATTGAAACATAATTTTAAATGTTTATAGAGTATTTTGGAGATGCTCTAAAAGTTTTTATCTAGTCTTCTACATTTATTAAGGATTTTAATCTTGTTTCTAACTCAGTTTTTCTACTTATTAATGTTTTCGATAAAGGATTACCTACTAGTCAACTATCAACTACAATTTGTTTTCGTTTATCCGTCTTGTACAACTATTTTCTCTCTCTGGATTTTAGAACACTGCATCGAGCCATAGGGTTTTCTTAGAGAGAAAAACTAAAATCGGTGTATAAAAATGGCGGCAACGGTCGTTGATCTACAGTTTCGTGGCGCGTGGAACGGTAACCCTAGCGGACTACGCCGAGTTCACGGGGAATTTCATCAGCATAGCCTCTCAGTGCCTCCAGAAACTACCTGCGACTAGCAACAGGTTTACCTACAACTGCGATGGTCACACCTTTAACTATCTCGTGGAGGATGGATTCACGTATTGTGTTGTTGCTGTTGAATCTTCTGGAAGACAGATACCTATGGCATTCCTCGAGCGTATTAAGGAGGATTTTACCAAAAAATATAGTGGAGGAAAGGCTGCTACAGCTGTTGCCAACAGCCTGAATAAGGAGTTTGGGCCCAAATTGAAGGAGCAAATGCAGTACTGTGTAGATCATCCAGAAGAGATCAGCAAGCTTGCAAAGGTGAAAGCTCAGGTTTCAGAAGTTAAAAGAGTGATGATGGAAAACATTGAGAAGGTTCTTGACCGTGGTGAGAAAATTGAACTTCTGGTGGACAAAACCGAGAATCTTCGCTCTCAGGCACAAGATTTCAGGACGCAAGGAACCAAGATGAGAAGAAAGATGTGGTTGCAGAACGTGAAGATAAAGTTGATTGTCCTTGGTATCATCCTTGCCTTGATCCTTATCATAGTTTTGTCTGTCTGTGGTGGATTCAAATGTCACAAGACTCACAACTAGTATGCGAAACTCCCACTATGCTTCATTGATGGACACCCGAGTTTTTTCCTGCTGAATAGCTTTTTGTTTACCTAAATATTTGGCGATGCCTCTGCTATATAGTCTGTATTTTGTGAGACGTGCTTGTATAGTTTTTGTATGACTAGATCGGATCCTCTGAATATGGTGAAAGAGTCAGATTGTTGCAAAGAACTACGGAATGCTATAAACAAGTCGGGTTTTGGGTTTAAAAAAAAATAATAATAATAAATAATTGCTTTCATTTATCCAGTATAAATCCACTCAGCATTTTTAAAATTATTAGGTTCTTTGACTTTTCCTAAGTCTAGTATTTATTGACTTTACTTTTTCTAGTGTTTTTAACTCTATTTTCTAGCTTTCCCAAGTTGGGATTAATATCTATTTCACTTATATTATAAAATTTCTTTTTTTAATATTTCACTATTTTAATTTTTAATGGGAATTTTGGGTTATTGGCGCAAAACGTCCCTACCTATGGCGGGTTGTGTGGAAAACTTCCCTATGTTTAATTTTTTGGTGCAGAACGTCCCTACCTTTGCATTTTCTTGCGCAAAACGTCCTTCCGTCCAACTCCCGTTAGAATCCACCGTTAAATAAAAGGGTAATTGGCGCAAAACGTCCCTACCTATGATGGGTCTTGTGGAAAACGTCCCTACGTTT